TACTCTCTTCTCCAGGAAACATTTTCTGGTCCACATATCCATTCTACTTTCACCGAGTTAGTCTGAGTTGGTGATCTTTCCTACACATATCCAAGCATACCATACATATACTGCATGTAAACACCTCTATTATAGCACTTTTTATTTTTTTAATAGTCCTTTGTATTTTTGTAACTCTGTAGAATAACAGAAANTAAACACCTCTATTATAGCACCTTTTATTTTTTTAATAGTCCTTTGTATTTTTGTAACTCTGTAGAATAACAGAAAGGAAATATTCTAAGTGGGGAAAAGGATATGATGGAAGCTTTAGGGGCAGATCTGGGGAGAGGATGGAGAAAGAAGGAAGATTGTAAGTCACATGTGGTATTGTAAAAAGAATATATATTGGGGTAAATAAAATATTAACTCAGAAGAGTTACATGTCAATTATCTCAATAAAGCTGGGGGAAAATGAAATAAAAGATTAGAAGAATCTTTTGGGACTTGACAGAATTTTCAAGACTAAACTGTGATTGGATTTCACATTCTAGAACAGTGACTCTCAACCCTGGCTGCACCCGTAGAAACACCTGGAGAGTTTTCAAAATTCCACTGCTTATGAATTTCTCAGACCCAAAATAAGTCACAATTTCTGGGCATGGGACCCAGACATTAAAGTTACCCAGTTGATGCAAAACTTAGCAACTGCTGTAAGAACTGGAAAGTGATTAGTTGAAAAGTGGGATTGATATAAGAGGCAAGAAATTGGATCATTATTTTTACTCTTATTTGTGATCTTGAGCAAGTCACTTTTATTGCTTGATATTCTTCATATGTAACTTTGTTGGATGATCTCATCTATTACTTAGTTGAATAATGATCTCTGGAGATTTTTCTGTCTCTAAAATCTTTTTATTTTAATGAAGGAAATTGCATAATGAAATAATGTTACAGGGAAAATTAATCGGCTAAATGCAGGACAGGTTGGAGGTAAGAAAGTGGTTGTCCTTTGTTAGTGTGGGTAGAACAGGTGAGTTCCTAGGAGAAGCTAGTTGCTTTGGGAATGGAAAGGAGGATACTTTAAGAAGCCCTCTTGCATCAATTAGGAATTTTCTCCCGTCTCCTTAATACAGATTTCAGGAAATTTAAAGTATGACTATTCAAGGATTTGGTTGCTGTGATTGAATTTTTTCTTATAACTTGTATTGTATTGTATTGTTTACCTTTAGCAAAACCTTGAATAAAGAATGACATATCTTGCCATAAGTATTTAAGGCAGGGGTGGGGAACGTCCAACCTGCAGGCCGTATACAGCCAGTGAAATCATTTGGTCTGGCCCTGCCAAGGCAACCGCAGGCAGGACTGGAAATTCAGTAAATCTAGGACATTTTTCACAGCTAATTTTTAAGTTGATAATTTTGCATGGCCCTTGAATGATGTTATAAATATCCAAGTGGCCCTTGGCAGAAAATAGGTTCACCACTCCTGATTTAAGGGATGTGCTGTTAATCAGTTTGTGCAGTGGAAATAATTCACTGAAACATTTCTTAGATCATATACTTTGGATTTCTGAAAAATGATTATTAATAAAGAATTCAATTATTTGTTTAGCACCCTGCCAAATATGTAGCATTGTATTTAGAATATGTTCATATATTCCTCCTAATATTGTATTATTCTTTAGTATCAATTTGCCAAAATGAAGGAAAAATTTGATTTAGGAAAGTTTTAGAACTTTAAACAGTTTTGTTGTTCACGTTTTATCCTTGTTCTGGAAAAAGGGGGTACATACTTTCTCTGTAGGATTGTTATAAAGAGGAAAGGAGATGGAGTAGCATAGTACTTGACACATGGTTCTTAGATGCTTGATAAATTTTAATTCTACTGCTCTCCCAGCGTATAAGCTCAGGCATACATAATTTATATTTACCCGTTGTAGTTATTTTATGCCAAAAAAAGTTTACGAGCTGTTTGTTGCTTTTTCCTTTTTTCTTTCAACTTAACATGTCTTCTCCTTGGTAAAATATTTTGGAGATGATTTTCCATGGATTTTTTCTAATTATACTAGGAAAACAGTGAATCTTTGCCTCCCCTGACCCTACTCAGTTGTAGTAGTTTGACTTAAGTAACTAAAATTTAATGACTTAGTGTATCTGGCTTCCTAAAATTAAATCTTTGTATATTCCTATTCAGTGATACTAATTATTTATGTTTTAAAGGAATTTTCTTTTAATAACGCAATTCTTAAGTATTCAAGGGTTAATGATCTAGTTTGAAATTGATGCCCTCCTTTCTGCTCTTTTTATTTTTTTATACCTACCTAGTTCAAAATGCAACCCAGACCTTTTGAATTTATTAGATGTTTTTATGAAATTAAATATATTGAAGGAAAAGTAAAGTAAATGTTAATCTTTTGAGTTTCATTTCATAGTCTTCCTCCACTCTCAGCACTATAAATTAAGTGCCAATTCCTAATTGACTACATAACCTTACCCATTCTTACTTCCTTTAAAGTTTTTTTGCTAATGTTCAGATAATCTCCAATCTCTAAAATATTTCTAAAGTTATAAATTTTCATAATACAGCATGGAATAACTTGTATATGAAAGGTTGAACTAAACATCTCAATGAGTCTTTTGTAGGGCTTATAAATTATTAGAAAAAAGCCTAAGGCTACTAGATTTTTGGAAAGTGTATGTTTATAGTGAGGAAGTTGTAAAGAGAGTGAAAAGGAAAGGAAAAGTAAAACTAGAAGAAGAAAAAATTGACAGGTGTAGAGAAGAGAGGGAGAAAGAAAATGGAGGAAAGAGAGAAGAGAATAAGAGATGAAGATTTCGAAAAAGTTTGAAGAGAAGTAAACATTCAAAAGGGGGAAAAAGCAAGAGAAAAAAATGATAAGAGGTGTTAAAATGCATTAGGTGCTCAGAGGGTGCTAATTTAGTGTTATATTGGGTTTCCAATGGGCTCTAAATTCTGGCCTTGGTTCTTTGGGTCACCTTGGAGAAGTTAGTTAACTTACCTGAAGCTCAGATTCCTCAAGTGATCTTTAAGGTCCCTTCTGACTCTAAAATTGTATATTTCTTGGTGGTTAGTCACTGTGAAAAAAACATTCATGTGGGAAGTTTACAGCTATAGCTGACTTTAGGACAACATATTTTGGGAGAAGGATGCAAGCTCCCTGAGGATAGGAGCCTTTTTTCTATCTTGTTCACCACTGTATTCCCAGCAGCTAGCAGTGCTTAACCCATATTAGACACTCAGTAAATGTTTGTTTAGTGAGTGATGCAAAAAGTTTCACTTTGGTGGTTCATTACAGGGAGCATCTAGTGGGCCTAGGGGAAAACTATGTACTTGAAAGAAGGAAAAGACTGATTTCTTCTGAAGATATCTTATTTACTTGTAAAAGCTGATTTTCTTCATTATTTTGTCCCATATTCAGAGGAAGTGACTGCAGGTAGTGGTATACTCATGATCACAAAACTTGTAGTGACCAAACATACATATAGTGACTAGATCAACATGTGATCTAGGCCAGTTCTCTTCATGTGACTTAAAGAAATGCAGAGCCAAGCTTGGATCTTCATGGAACATGAGTGAAAAGAGTACACATAGATTATGGTAGCTTTATTAAGTTGTATTCTTTGGCTTCACTCAGTTGAGAAGCAAAGTTAAGCTGAGTACTGAGGCTGGTAGATTCCAGTGAAATCTTTGTCATCCCCTTACATTATCCCTACATTAGAAGGTGGTACATAGTTATTCCTAAATGTAAATTTTACAAAGAGATTTGAAGGAAACATTCAGAATATATATATGTATATATTCATTCCAATGTTTTTGAAGTCTTAGTTTCAAAGTATGCAGGTTGTTGCAGTTTTTAGACACAGAATTAGACTAAAGGGGGGAAGGGAGAAAGCCACTTTAAATCCCTAGCACCAAAGTCATCTACTTCCTCATTAGTTCTCACTCCGTCTTACACTTTTATTTACCCTCCAGTTTAGAATAAGCTTGGTTGATTGATGTGCCATTTCACTCAGACCGCTCAGACCGAAACAGAAAGCATCAAAAAGTGTGGGTCAGGAAGATGGAGGCATTCATTCATTGGCAGATGTGATAACAACTTAAGTTACAACTGAACAGTCCTACTTTGTGGGGTAAATAAGGGAAAAATAAACATCTAGCACGTTAGCTATCCATGATAATTATTCTGAGTCATTAAGAAAATAATAATTTATATTTTAAATTAATAAAAAAAAAAAAGGTAGGAAATATGTCATAACATTTTTGAAAAAAGTTTATCCCAATTGGTTAATTTTTTAAATGTTTTATACCTGAATAGTAAACCCACAGTAGTCTTTAAAAATATGCCTACTGGAACACATTTATTCCTGCATCTGACCCCAGGGGTACTACTAGATAAATAAAACATGATTGTATTTTGATATTAAAAAAAAAGTTTAAAATTTTTGTTTCTTATAGCTATATCAGGTTGAGTTTTTAGTCAGTTGCTTACATTTTATGTTGGGTTTGTAAAAACTGTAATATTGAGAAGTATGTATGTATAAATAGTGGTAAAGAGACTTTTTCTTAAATGCATTTTAAAAGGATCATATAAAAAGTTAGTTATTTCAGCAGAGCGAGGTTAAATGTCTGTGTACTTCAATTATGATTTAAAACAAAAACACAATTGCAAATTTCTTAAAGCCATATTTGTATAAATTGTTTTTATCCAACATAAGTCATCTAATTTGCTACAATCATTGACATAGTTCATTGTAGAGATATGAAAAGATAGAAATATGAAAGCAATATCCATTTATAATACTAAATTTCAGACTAGAACATTATTTTTGTTAAAATCAGAGTCCATTTGGAGTGAACTGAATATATCCATTTAAAATTTGCATATTATATTACATGTTAGGTAACTTTTAAATGTTTTAAATTACCAACTCCAGAAGATGGATAACAATTTCATTCCTGATGGCAATGAATTTCCTTCTTCTGAATTTTTTTAATAGGTGCACTAGGCCTTCCAATGAGGGGAATGAGCAACAATACCCCTCAGTTAAATCGCAGCTTATCACAAGGCACTCAGTTACCGAGCCACGTCACGCCAACAACAGGGGTACCAACAATGTCACTTCACACGCCTCCATCTCCAAGCAGGTATTTATTGATGGACCAGAATATTTCTCAAAATGTATCTTTGTAGAGTAAGGAAGCTTTTTAGTTTCTTCATAAGGTAACTAAATGGTTCAGTGCCTTTCACTGAGGAAAAGAAAGTTGATACCCTCTGCTAGTTTTATTTCATTGCAAATTGATAAGTCTAGTGTAAGATGCTTTTATCCTGCAGCTACATACTGGTTGTCAACTGGTGGGTATCGAGGGTTAATCATCACCTGGGGGGGCTTTGTCAGGAGCCAGCTTTCTTCCTCAAAGGAGGATGTGCAATTTAAAATCATTCCTCAGATAATTCTCATTATTGCTCCCTGACCACACTTCCATTGCTGTAGTGAGAATAAAATAAAGCAGGTTACATAGATGATGCATATTAGTATGAAGAAAGTAGAATGACATACATTCAGAATGAAATTATTCTAATATATGTGAGATACTCAGGTATTATTTTATGTCATAGTCACAGTAATAGTTCTCTCATCTTAGATATCATCATATGCTAGTTTCACTATAATTTGCCCTTTCTTGTTGGTTTGTTTACTTTGGCTTTTATTTTTAAGAGTAGAGTTACTGGACAGAAGAAATTAATAAAAATTAGCAATGCAATTTGAAAATATATGTGAAGTTCTAGGCTTAGGTCAATTGATTATTTACAGAGAATTTTAATGAGTAATTGTAGAGAGCTTATTTAGTATTGGACTTCTTTTTCAGGGGTATTTTGCCTATGAATCCTAGGAATATGATGAACCACTCCCAGGTTGGTCAGGGCATTGGAATTCCTAGCAGGACAAATAGCATGAGCAGTTCAGGGTTAGGTAGCCCCAACAGAAGCTCGCCAAGCATAATATGTATGCCAAAGCAGCAGCCTTCTCGACAGCCTTTTACTGTGAACAGGTAAGATGTTTATTGATACTGTGTATAATTGTCTTTCTGGGTATTTTCAAATTTGCCTTTTCGTATTCAACATTCTGTTCTTGAGTCGTGGCTTCTGTCTCATTAGTGTGTTTCATCATATATTTATGACCAGAGATTCTCTTTCTGTTACACATCACAACTTTAACCTCTCCAAACTAAAGACACATTCTTTTGAAAATCAGTTTGGTTTTAGAAAGTACATTATAGCTTTTTATTGTTGTTGGTTAGAAGAGGATTGTTCTTAGGTTCCCACCAGGCAAATTTTTGTTTATCTGTTTTTCCTCTATTAAATGAGGCTGGTCACCTATGCATTAAGAATTTTAGACTTATGACTAGGGCATATTTGACTGTTACTGCCTTGCTTCACTTACGGTTTGGTTAAGTACCTTTTTAACTGAAATTCAGTTTTGTATTTACTTTGGAGACTTACTAACCAAAGGCTTTTTCTGACTACATCTATAGTATTTGAAAATTGTCTCGTCCTGGGATTTAAAACTAAAAAGTGAGCTCTTGTACCTTTTCACCCCTTTTTGCACTATCCATTGCATATACTATTATGCAAATAATAATACGAAAACCAGTTATCCATTATGTTAGTATTTTTTAGCTGTTCATATAATTTGTATGAGAGTTATATCTGCAATATAAGGCTTGCATTTAAGTTTGCTAATATTTTTTAAACAGGGAACTCTAGGAGAAAAGAGGACCTTGATCTAGTTGTTATCATCATGCTCAGCTATTTCACTTTGTTTTATCTAGTACTTATAAAATCTCAGTTAAAATAGGCTATTAGCACATTTTCTGTTTAATCTTCATCTCATAAGCTTCAATTCTTTCTTTTACTTAGGCCTAAGAACATTTCTTTTATATTCATACTGCTCTTTTAATTTTTTTAAAAGTTATTATTTGTAAAGGGTTATTAAAATGCTCATCTTCTTGAAAGCCCAGTATAATACTTACTGGGCTTTATCACATCTTTCTGCATTCTTACAGTATTGTTCATTGAATGTATATTTAAATTTTTGCCTTTTCATATTTTTTCACATTTTTATTGTTTTTAAAAAAATAGTTTGTTTATAAATTGTCAATGAAGCTTGGGTCTCTAAAACCCTGCTTATTACTATTGATGTTGTGTTTATTATAGAATGTTTTCATCTCTTAGCACTTATTCAGTGTTTGAGGATACCTATCATCAGCACTTCTAACATGCTATTAAACAAAAATTTCTATTGGCTTTCCTACTCTTCTCTAAAGTATTGTTGCACTGCTGCATATTTTATGAAAATATTGTTTGGTCATAGTTTTATAGATGTAGGGAGAAAAAAATCTGTTATCTTTAAACAGTTTAACCCTATTCAGAATACTGATAACACTGTCTTTTATTAGACTATTTGATGTTAAAAATTCATACTTTCATTGTAGAATTGACATTAATTCTTTTTGAAATTCGTAATTACTTCTGGTCTTGCTTTAAGTTCAGTCTTACTTTTTGTTTTTGTTTTCCCGTGTTTAGGTTTGTGCAAAAAAAGGAGGCATTTGTAACTGTTTACCAAGTACCAATTGTGCATTAATTTTTAGAATTGAGGGCACTGCGAGAAGATTTTTTTTTTCTTTTAAGTACCTGAAAGATAAACTATTTACATAAGAATGATGTGATTTAGAACACTGAATTCAGTTAAAAGCACCGTTTAATTCAAATCAACTAAACACGTATTGAGTGCTTATTGTATCCTCCCGAACACCAAGGGCAGAGGATGCAAAGTTGAGTGTGACATGGACTCTGTTCATGAGGAGTTTATGTTCTAGTTGAGAAAGACAGACTATGAAAAAAGATTTTTATGGATGGTAACAATAGCATACTTTATCAGTAGTGAAAGAAAAGTATTCAGGAATAATCGTCTTATACTAAACTACATAGTTTTGAGGTTGGTTCTTCCAGTATATCCAGTAAATTGGCTCTCCAAGAAGTCTAAACTGGTACCCTTAATCTCTGTTTTCCTTAAGACTTATAAATTCTTTGTTTTTTGTTTTTTAATGCACCTGTATAAGATGTTTGGTTCTCTCTTGTTCATGGAAGGTCTTAGGGAAATTTAAAATAAAATTAAAGAAAGTCAAAAACAAAATTAGTATTTGTTTTAAAACATATTGTTGTTTTCTATGAGGAGACCAAACGTATACACTTTTGTTTATCTTCATCTGAAAGTTAGTGTTCTTACTGTATATCTAAAATTATTTTCTATGTACCCAGTATGTCTGGATTTGGAATGAACAGGAATCAGGCATTTGGAATGAATAACTCCTTATCAAGTAACATTTTTAATGGAACAGGTAAGCTTATTCTGGAGCTAGTACCCTATAAAAAATATGGTAGATCTTTGAAATATAAAGCAATTCAACATACTGGTCTTAAAATATTACAGGATTTTTTTTTGTGTTAAAGTAGTAGAATTTAGTTTAGTAAAAATTTGACAGGAATAGAATTTAATTAAGTGAACAGTTTAGAGAGATTTAAATATATTTTTTCACTTGGCATGGTAATAGCATAGTGTTATAACATCAATATTATTTCCTTAATACCTAGTGGACCCTAAACATTAACTTAGTCTTTATTTATACCTCAGAATCTTTTTTGCTTAAAGAACTTTTTCTATCCTCAGTCCTGTGCCCACAGCCTAAACTAGATTGGGTGGTATGGCATTCTGGCTAGTGAAACCCAGAATGAAGAAATCTTTAAAATTATATGGAGCACTTACAAGTTTTTCTTAATAGTTTCAATACTAAATTTGGCATTTTTATCCATATGAATTTTAATCCAGTTTTATGTGTAGAATTCAAAATTTAATTCCATGGAAAACCAATGCTGATCAGAGTAAATAATTACTATAGTCTGTTGGTTTATTTCTTTTATCATCTGCTTCAGACCAAACAGGAGGCTTTATTGCTATTCTGCTTCAGGTTTCACCCTCTTCCACCTGCCTCCTGAAAAAGGAAAGAAAGGGTATTGTTATAGTCATAGGAGCCCAAATGAATACGATTGTTGAGAGAGAACTGTAAGGTGAAAGAGTGATCAGTTAAATGGAGCATATGTGGAAGCACAAGAGAAGATTTAGCAATAAAATGTCACCTGTGGCTATGGGCTTTAATTTTTAAAAGTTATTGTCTGTTTAGTAACATGGATTGGTCAAATGAGACTTTAAAATTCCAAGTTTTAGCATTTGAAAGTTACAGTTTTGTGTTCAAGATGTTAAAATAATATGAAACACCACATCCCATTGTTTCTAAAATGTACATTTTTTCATATTTTAATATCTCTGAATCAGGCTGTATCTCATAGTTTAAGGCAAAATTTTTTAATGGACCATAAAGTAACTGTGTGACAGTGCCATCTTATATTCTAAATTATGGTTTTATACATGTCTATAAATTTTAGATTTTTAAAATTCAGTTTTAACCAAGTATATTTCACAATAGGAAAATTGTTACTCTTTCCCTAAAAATATAAATTTGGGGGTTTATGAACTGTTTCTGTAAGTAAAAACTATTCTCAAATAACACATGGCAGTTTTACTTTAGAGGACCTGAAGTTGTATATTAAAAATTAATATATAGTTAATTTGTAATCAATTAATTGAAGAGAGATTACTGTATAGATTGAACTTGTATAAATGTTAATTTCTATTATTCTTATAATATCTTATTAAAATGTAAAGTTCATAAGCTGCAATTTTTAAAAAACAATGGGTATGAATGATTTTATCTTTTACCGTTCATAATTTTAAATCGCCACCTAAGTTGGAATGTTAATAGAGTGTATTTCTCTTCTATCAACAAAGTGATCTTGAGATAATAGTTTTTTTCTCAGAATCTTCTAATGATGAAACTTGGAGAAAATTAAAATTAACCGGAAAAAAAGGCAAAATAAAGTGAAAATGGTCATAAGACAGTAGATGAAAGAAAAGCTATATTGCAGGCTAAAACTAAGGTAGAAAATTAAATTCTTTAAAAATTAGGAATATAAGATTGTATCAATTATAGAATAATAAAAGTTAATAAATTCAGGGGATGATTAAAATAGGCAAAATATAAATGTTGGGTTAAACTTTAACTTTTAAAAGGAAGTGAGTTGATGTTTTAAAAATTTTAAATGAACAAAAATAAATTTTATTTAATTATTTATTGAGCGCCTACTGTGTAATAGGTGATATAAACTTTTGGTCTTTATAGCATATCCCCATGCTTCCCAGGCATTCAACAGACATGGGAACCCTACTTATACCCTACTTACGCTACCCTGCATATCCCCCCAACTGCAAAATGTACAGGCACACACATGCATATACATTTGTGATGGGACCAATAGATCACAGGAAAGAAGTCCTTAGGGTTTCTGTTTCCACTCCTTTGCCTTAGATATGATTCTGGCCATTTGCAAGAGGTACTGTCATTCTCACACATGTGTATAACTGAAGCTCCAAGTATTTCAGATAGAACCACTGCTTTTAGATATAATGAAAAGAGCAGTTATATCACAACAGTCTCTTGCTAGCTAATAAGCTATAACTTTAGAGTATTAGCTTTCACAGGAGAAATACAATGTATCACCTTATCCCTTATTCTTTACCTTGAGTCTCTTAAGATTTGAAATTTTTATTATGCTAGTTATATTTTGCTTTGCTGAATTGTTCATGAAATTCTTTTATGTGAAATCAGTCCACAGATATTTATTGTGCACCTGCATTATTTAGGAATAATGCTGTGCATTATTTAGGAAGAAGGACTAACATTTCAGATTATATTATGGTTGGTCTTTAATAATGTCTTTAAAATGTTCGTTGAATAAATAATTATTGTTCCTTCTTATTATTTAGATGGAAGCGAAAATGTGACAGGATTGGACCTTTCAGATTTTCCAGCATTAGCAGACCGAAATAGAAGGGAAGGAAGTGGTAACCCAACTCCATTAATAAACCCCTTGGCTGGAAGAGCTCCTTATGGTAATTAAGCTTTTTAGTGATGGCCAATGGAAACTTTCTGTTGCACATATATTTACACATACACATGTGTGTATGAATTTTCTAATCAGAGTAGTATAATTTGTTGTAGTTTATATACCCAAAGTGCTTTTTCCTCCCAGAATACCATCATAGCAAAGCTAAATGGGAAAACTTAGTTTGTACAGAAACCCCAAAACCCCGTTGGTATTCAGAAGTTATTTTCTTCTGGCAGTTGTGCCTTGATACACCTTAATGATTATTTTGTGAACTGCCTTTTATTCATCACAATTTTTTTAAAAGAATATATTCCCAATGATTAAAAATGACTGACCATACAGTAAAGATTTTTTTCTAAGTGAGTTTTTTAACCTCCACACTATTGACATTTGGGTCAGATAATTCCTTGTAAATGAGAGGCTGTCCTGTACACTATAGAATATTTAGCCACATCCCTGGCCTCTGCCGCTTGGATGCCAGTAGCACCCCTTACCTTTTACCCTTCCCCCATTGTGACAACCACAGATGTCTCTCTAATTGACAAATATGTGGGAGAAAAAAATTGCCTCCTGTTGAGAACCACTGCTCTTGGGTCATTTATAGTTTATGTAGACTCTTGGTCACCATTAAAATACCCCATTATACTGTCTCTAATAAGAAATTTGGCTAATAGATGCTAAATGAAAGGAAGAGGCGTGCTAAATATTTTTCATATATTTCTTGTCTTTTAAATGTTCAAATATAAGATTTATTTGTATACTATGGGACAGTTGGTGTGCAGTAACAGTTTAGACATGAAAATTATGTAACTGCAATGTAGCCATATTCTTTTTATTCTTTGCACATAGTTGTTTCTTTTTGTGAGAACCTGATAGAGACCAGTAGCAGAAAACAATGAACTTAGAGGGATCAGTTCATCACTCTTAAAACTATTTTTCCCATTTTCAACTTAGAAGGATTTCCATTCCTTTCAGAATATGAATACAAGTAACAATATATGAAGAAGAGAAAAATGTATTCTTCATATTCTGAATTTTCCAAATCACTCTTCCAAAAATAACAAAAAATGATCTGCCCTGGAAGTTGAGTACCAGCTACTTGATTCTCAGTTCAGACTCTAATGTTTTTAACCTTTCCTCATAGGTCCATTTTTTCATCCCTTTAATCATTCCCGTTGCTCTCCTTGGACCATCTCTAGTTTCTCCATATCGTTCTTGAATTGTGGAGCCCCAAACTGGATATTGTTCTCCAATAAGGGCCTGACTAATGCCAAGTATAGTGGGAGGATTACTTCCCAGTTCTTGCATGTTTTACATCTATTACATGGAGTCCAAGAAAATCTGAAATAATACGGAGTTGTTTAATAATTGATTGCAATTTGCTCACTCTGTAAGTCACTTTCAAGTAGAATACTGACATGTTCTTTTAAAATTGATTTTGCTCATTTGTATTTGACAATTAACTTTATAATAGCTAGTCAAATATTTAAATACAGCAAGCTTTTAAACCAAAAATGTTAATAATTATTACCAATATCAAATTGTTTTAAGCAATTCCCTTGTATTATTTTTTATATTGAGTTATTAATCAGTATATACATATTTATTTATTATTATCCTGAATACTAATTTTTTTGAACTGTGCTTTCAGAGCAAAATAATACTTTTGGTATATTATTATAAGGGAAGTTAACGTTTTATAATTTTTAGCAAAATATCATAAATATCAATTGCAATTCTCCGGATTATTTTTATTACATAGTTGGAATGGTAACAAAACCAGCAAATGAGCAATCCCAGGACTTCTCAATACACAATGAAGATTTTCCAGCATTACCTGGTTCCAGCTATAAAGATCCAACATCAAGTAATGATGACAGTAAATCTGTAAGTAACTGAGAATTGTGTATGTGAGTGATGTAGTTTTTTCCCTTCAGATTTCTCTTATATTAACAGTTTTATAGACTGTATTAAGGACTTACTAAATAGTATTACAAAATTGTTTATCTTGAATATTCATAATAATCTAACTTCTGAAGAATGTGGAAAACCTTTATAACTTAGAAGATAGCCTATTTTTTTCCTATTTCATATAGGTTTGCAAATTTCTGTTGAACTTCTCAGAGTTAATTTAGACTTTTATTGTAGTCCCTGTCAGCTGGATCCCATGAAGTTTGATATTATAGCCTTCTAAGGAGCTGTGTTTTTCTTGAGTAAGTTTTCTCCTTGAAGAATCTTTATACACATATTTATTCCTGTGTTGATTCAGCCAACTCAGCTTCCTCTTTCTGACTTGCCGAATATGTTTATTTCTTCCACATTTCACTGAAAATAGCTTTTTTTTGTGATGGGAGTTTGTATATTGTTAAAATATTTGCTAAAGAAGAATATTGGGTAAGAATTAAAATAAATCCGAATTTTAAAAGTGCTTATGTTCTGACTTATCTTGGAGATTTTTATGGTGATACTTATTTAGTTTCTCTTTTAAATGAAAGTATTGAAGAATTGTAACTTCAAGTGTATCCCAAAGCATAAAGTCCTGAGATAGATAGTTAATATATTTTGTCTGTGACTGAAAATCTGAGATAAATAAGAATATTTTTCATATATTCCTTGTCTTTTAAATGTTCATATGTGTATAATACAGGATTTATTTGTATACTATGGGACAGTTGTAGAAACAAGAAAAAACTTAATGTAGAACTTGAAAAACAGGTAATAATTTACTACCAATTTAAACATAATAAAGAATGAATAGAAAGGTACTACTAATATGTGAATCTGAAATTTTTATACTTAATAAATTTTAATGTTACATTTAATTTTTTTTCATGTTAGAATTTGAATACATCTGGCAAGACAACTTCAAGTACAGATGGACCCAAATTCCCTGGAGATAAAAGTTCAACAACACAAAATAATAACCAGCAGAAAAAGGGGATCCAGGTGTTACCTGATGGTAGGACTCCATAAAATATGTCAATGATGTTATGGAATATTTTTTTTTTTTTTTTTTTTTTTTTT